AATGTATAACCTTAAATTCACATCTTAGAAATCTAGAAAGCCTGAAAATTAGGCACTATCCACCTAAGAAGAGAATGAGCCATGTTAAGGCCATGTAAATAGGAGGAAGCAAATGAAACGAAATGGAAACCTACAATAGTAAGGATCAACAAGGTCAAAAGTTCTTTATTTTTTTCACGGATATTAATGAATTTATTATCGACAAATAGTTGGCAAGCTCAACCAATGGGAAAAAACGTGAAGGCAAAATAAACAATATTGGCAATTAAGAAAGGTTCCTAGTTCCCGAGGACACAGGCATTAGAATGATAATGCCAGGGGGCACCTGGGGGGCTCAGTCGGTCAAGCTTCCGACTCTTGATTTCAGCTCAGGTCATGATCTCACGGTTCGTGAGTCTGAGCCCCGTGTCGGGCTCTGCGCCGACAGAGCGGAGCCTCCTTGGGATTCTCTCTCTCCCTCTCTTTGCTCCTCCCCCACTCACACACTCTCTCTCGCAAAATAATTAAGTAAAAAGTAAAAAAGTAAAACGATAATGCCAGTAAGCTGGAAAACTGAGAAGAAACGTACACATTTCGAGAACGTACAACTCAACAAAACTGACACAAGAAGAGATGGAAAACCTGTGTCCTACAACCGTTGAGGCCACTGACTTAGAACGTGAAGTCTTCCCGCAAAGAAAGCACCAGGCCTAGCTGGCTTTACCTTTAAACGTCACTAAACATTCAAGGGAGAAAAAAAAAAAATCCCAATTCTCAGTAAAATATTCTAGAATACAGGAAAAGAGGGAACACCTCTCGGCCCACTCAGCGAGGCTCACATAAATTTCATACCAGAACCTGCCGAAGACAGCACAGAAGAAGGACAGTTAGGTTGTGTGTGTATCTCACACATAAATGCCAACGCACAACTCCTGAAGCAAATACTAGCCAGCGGGTTTCAGCAGCGCCTGGGAAATGATGCACAATGTGAGGTGGGGGTGGGTGAGGCCGGAGACCAAAGGGACGGCCGGACGATCACCTAGTGGGAGAGGACAAACACCTAGAGGCTGCGGGGAGGCCGTGGTGAGCAGCAGGGCAGGGCATCAAGGCGGCTCCTGGGGGTGAGCGGGGAGGGAGTTGCTGGGAGGACGGGGCCTCGGGCCAGCTGGCGGCTGGGGGGATTAGGCCAGAGCAAGGGAGCCGAGTCTGGTGCAGACTTCAAGGCCTGGGTAGCCGGGCTTATCTGATCCGAGGGGAGGGGGCCAGGGCAGCTGTGGCGGGGGGCTTTCGTGTCCAGGAGAAAGGTATGCCTGGCCAGGGCCTGGGACGGGAGCCTGCGGAAGGAGGGTCAGGTGTTGGGGGGCCCCTTCCCACCCACACCCTCTGAACCGGGGCCTGCAAACCCAGGCCTTCCAGGCTTTAAGCCGTGGACGTTTCCGGCAGAAACAGAGAAGAAAGAAATGCTCCCGGCCCCAGCCCGCCGTGTTCCTCGTATCAGCAAAAGCAGCACGAACTGAACTTGCAAAATAAACAGGGCTCAACATAAACGGTGCAGCGGGTCCTGAGGACCGAGCTAAGAACACACACGGGGAGGAAGGTTGGAGCAGTCTTCCCCAGGGAGTCCCCAGGGAGCCAAGGGCACGCCTGGTCCTCTGAGCAGCCCTGGAAGAGCTGGGAGCCGGGGGCCGGGCAGGGGCCGTGTTCTCAGGACTCCTGTTCCGGGGCCTGTCTGAATCTGTGCCACTCCCCTGGGCGGCTCGGCCTCCGGACCTCACTGCTTGCCCCCCACTCCCCAGCCCCAGCCTGCCCCCTGCTTGGCCCTCCACGCTTATACCCGGCCTCTCCTCCAGCAGACCCCTCATATTCCCGTGTTTCTGAAGCACTCTCTGCCTCCCTCTGTCTCTGCACCTCAGTTCCCCGACCCCTCTGTGGCCTCCGCTGGGACCGGTTCTTCACCTTAGCCAGCTGTGTGACCCTGGGCAAGCGCTCCACCTCTCCGGGCCTCAGTTTCCCCACCTGTAAGAAAGGATTGGCTTGGCCACATACACGTCCTTTCCGGAATACAGACAGCCCGGAGGAGCACGGGGTGGCTTTTTAAACAGAAGCGTGCAAAGAGCGGTTCACGCCGTTTGCTTTCACTACTGAAGGGAGGCCGGGGTGGGGGGCAGGTTCCCGGCCGTCTGGAGGGGGAGGCCCATGCGGGCACAGGCTGTGGGGTGGGGATGCTCGGCAGCCAGGGGCGGGAACAGACGGGTGGGGGGCTCTGAGCTGGGGGAAGCCTCCACTGCCACGCACGAGCCGTGACGAGGGCTCGGGCAGTGAGTACATGGGCCCTTGTGTCCCATGTGGCCCCCTGGCCTGGACATAAGGAAAGGGGGCTCTTTGCAGGGAAACTGAGCCCCCCCCCCCGCCCCCGGACAAGCTGAGCTAGCCTTCCCTGCAAGAGGACACCCCAGACCCCTGGTCTTTGGAACTGATCCGTTCCCGAGAAGGGGGGCCAGCAGCCGTGCGGCCCAGACGCCCCTCTTCCCCTCCTCCTCCAGCCTCTGGCCTGCAGCTCCGAGAGCCCGCCCGGGACGGGGCACCCGGACCGCTGAGGCCCGAGGGCCGGCCCGGTGGCGGTGGGGTTAGGGATTTCCTGCCCCCGGCTTCCTGCAGTCAGCAGGATTGCTCCGGGGGTTGTTTATAGTCCCGATGGGCCCAGTGATGACTGTGATAATGTGGGGGCCCGGGACGTGCCACTCTGCCCTCTGGACCTGGCGAGGCCCTTTCCCAGGGCCTGTCCCCCGAGGGGGCACGGGCCGGCGGTGGGGGAGGGCCGGGGCAGGCCGAGGGGTGGCCTCTGCCCAGGGCAGCCCATCCCCAGCAGCGCCTTGAGGGACGACAGTGGGGCTGAGGCTGGGCGGGGAGCACGGCCTGCCCGGGACCGTGGCGACCCTGAGCAGACGAGGCCACCTCTCAGCCCGAGCCGGTCCCCACAGCAGGAGGGGGTGGAGACCGCCCAGAACCGGCCTCCCGAATCGCCGCCCGTGTGGACGTCCGAGTCTTACCGCCCATCCACGGCCCCTCTCCCGGGTGCCGAGGCCGCTGGGGGCGTTGTTCCCAAACCTTGTCGCCAGGGATCAGGCACTCCGGAAAACACTTCTTTGTTGTTCAGATCTGAAGAAACGCGGGCACGTAGCTCTGTTTCCCCAAGACCAGCGCCGGCCCCACCTCGGCCAACCAAGGTTCTGCGTCCTGGTCCTCAGGCCCCGCAGGCTGCTGGATGCCGTTGCTCCAGCCTGGGGAGGGGGCGCTGCTCCCCGAGACCCTGTCTCCTACCCACTGTCGCCCCCAGAGGACACCAGGCTCAGTCTGAGTTTAAAGGGGTGGCCTGTCCTGAGACCTGGCGGGCAGAGCTGTGAGAAAGGCGGAGAACAGCAGGGCAGAGGGTCAAGGAGAGGCGAGCACATCTGGAAGCTGGTGGAACAGGGGCCACTCCCGGGGCCGTCGGGGGCAGGAAGGCTCACGCACCCACGGGCCGCCATAACTCCTGTCGGCTGTGGGGGCCGGGGTTCCAGGGCTGGGTGTGGAGGTCGGGGAGAGGGGCCTGGGTCTATTCCTTGCTCGAGCTCTGCTTCCTTGGGCGTCTAGAAGCCCCCACACAGATGCCTGGCCTGCTGCACTGAGTGTGGCCACCAGCTGCTTCTAGAAGGGCATGGCAGCCCCGAGCCCCTGGCCCCACGCACAAAGAGAGAGTGCCAAGGATACACCTTGTTCACTGCAGCCCAGGCGAAGCCCAGGGTCCCTGGGCCTCTGGTGCCTCCCGACTGGTCCCGTCCTGCCAGGCAGGGCTGTCTGCCCAGTGAGAGCAGGCCAGGTACCCGCCCGCCTCGGGTCTGCACTGGCCAGCGGGCCGGGCCCCGCGGCAGGGTCAAATGTGTCAGCTGGCCAGGCCCGGAGTGAGGGTCCCTGTGGCACCTGGACAGTGCTCCCCCACCCCCCCCCCGGCCCCCGCCTGGTCCCACACTGTGTCACGGCCCAGCTGCCAGCCCGGGCCGGGGGCAGATGGAGCAGGTGGGGAGGTGGTGACGTTGCGGACCGGCGCCCGGGTGGGAACACGGAGCTGCACCCCTGCCCGCCCACTCAGCTGCGGCGGGCTGAAAGCGGGCCAGAGCCCGGCGTTGCCGGGGAAACCGAGCGGCAGACACAGGCCCTGCCCAGCAGAAATTCCTCTATTTTTAGCCTCCCAGCTACTTTCAGATAAAGCCCGTGTAGACGGACGAGCTGTCGGGCAAGATAACAGCCCGCTCCAGACCACAGAGATTTCACAGGGTGGGCCTGAGCCTGAGAAAGGCCCTCCCACTCCCCAGAGCCTCCCTCGGCCCCCAGGGCACCCCGGGAAGAGGCCCCCCCCCGGGCTGAGAGGCCCGCAAGGCTGCTGGGGGAGTGGGGGCATCCTGGGGGGCCGAGCGCCCTGTGCCTGGGGCAGAGGGAGCACGGGTTTTGCGGCACAGAATTAGAATCCCGGGCCAGGGGTCCCACCTGGCCGCCCAGCAGGGCCTTGGCCGGCCCGGCCACCGTCTCCGTCAGAACCCTACAGCCGCGGGTCCTCGAGCACGCGACCCTTCCTCCCTGCCCACGCACGATGATGCACCTGCGAGCCACGGTCAGCACCTCTGATGTTCCCCCAGACGGCACTGCCCGCCCCCCGCGCGCACCGGGAGGGGCCCGTGGGCACCGGCTGCCGCTGGTCAGTAAAGAAGCCCCTTGCCAGAGGTCTACAAACCAGGCGCCAGGGGACCGACGCCCAGCTTCATCCAGGGGGGTGGATGTGAGCCGGATCTCGGGGAGCTCCCGGGGCCGTGCGAACCGCACTGAGCACAGGAGGAGGGGGCAGGGAGGCCCGCAGCCCCCTAGCACCCCCGGAATCCCGCACGGCAGCTCAGGACGGATGTGGGAGAGCGAACGGCCACCGCGGGTGCCAGCCCCCGGGACGGTGACCGGCAGAGCCAGTGGGGGGCCGGGCCCCTCGCGCCTACCTTGTCTTCTACCCGGTTGAGGCGGGCCCCAATGGTGTTGCTGCCCCGGTCCTTGTTCTTTTCTGTGGGGTAGAGCACCAGAATCAGGGACGCGTGTTGGCACCGGGGCAGGGCCTCAGAGAGCAGGGTGACGGGGGTGGGGGGCTCACCTGGGAGGACATCTCTGCAAGCTCTTCCCTGGTGGGAGCTCCAGACGTGAGCTGGGCAGGGAGCCCCGTGGCCCACTGCCTCTTCAGGTCTGTGGCCACCCAGGCACCCCCACAACTCAGTCATTCTTGCACTATTTCAAACGTTTTTTTTATTATTCTTACATTTGTTTTGGTTTTGGTGATCTGTCGTCAGTGACGGGACTCGCTGAGAGCCCAGATGACGGTTTGCACTTCTGAGCAACAAAGTTCTTTTTAATTAAGGCATGCACGTTGGTTTTGCAGACATATGCCGTCGCACACAGTAGACTACAATACAGTGTAAACGTAACTTTTACGTGCACTGCGAGACCCTAAAATCCTTTGGCTCACTTTATTGCGATATTTGCTTTATCGCGGTGGTCTGGGAACGAACGTGGACCTTCTGTGCCCCCTGTCCCCCGCCCCAGGCTGCACCAGCCCTGCCCAGGCCGAGCTGCCCTGCCTTCTGGCCCCTGTGTGAGCCACGGCTCCCGCTTGAACTTGGGCTAGGCCGATCCCAAGGAACTTCCTAGTGTGACCGTAGCCCCGCTCCAGAGGACACGAGGAGTCAGAGGTGGAGAATGGCATCCCCCTCGCTGCTGCTGCTGGTCCCTCGGGCTCTGGGCTGGCTACTCACCCCCCGAGCCCCCTTCCCCAGGTCTCCTCCTTCATAGGATACGGGTCACGTTTCTACCTCTAGATCTTTGATGGCCCAGAAGGCCTGCTGTTTAAAGGGACCCGCGTGGTTCCTTGCACTAACTGAAACTTTCTTTGTAGGGCGTGTAATTCCAGGGCACTTGGCTCAGGGTTGGGTCCACCTGGTCCCCCGTGGCGTGTTGAGTGTCCTGTACCTCTGAGGCCCTGGTGGCCTATTCTGGTGGGGAGAGGCAGGTGAAGGTGCTGGCCACCCTATGTTGATGTGGGAACCCACCTGAGACAGAGATGAAAAGGGACGGCTTCCCGATGGACTGGTCCAGCCTGGGAGGGAGACAGACAGGGACGAGCTCATGCTGGGCCTGGGCACTGGCGGGTGGACAGGCAAGGTGCCCAGCAGTGTGACAAGCCACCCACCCCTTTCGGGGGCACCCACAAAGCTGCCGGGGGCTTTCCAGGCCCCAGAGGCTGTACTACTATGGGCAGGGGGCTCAGAGGTGGGGAGCAGTGGCTGGAAAGCCCCTTAGACGTACCCCCTGGGCAGCGCAGGGCCTCAGGACTGCCCAGTGTCCTGTCATTGTCTTGTAAGCAGCCTAGGCCAGGTGCCTCAGCCACACTCAGAGAGAACGTCCCGCGAGTGAGCCCTTCCAGAGCGAGGCCAGGTTGCCGAGATGGGTGGGCTTCATATCCCTAGAGCAGGTTAGCCATGGGGCTGGGCGGGGTGGGGAGCAGCCCGAGGACAGGCACGATGTCCCAGCCATACCCTGTGACACAGGCCGTTGGGTTCCCAGGCTAGCCTGCGGTAGAGGCACAGCTGGCCTGAGCCTGCACAGGGCCCAAGGACCATGCTGCCTCCATGGGAACGAGGGCTCCGGGCTCGAAGCCAGAGCCTGGAACACGGTGGCTCCCGGTACTTAGGGTTCGTGGCTCCAGCTCTAGGACTGGGACAGCCCAGGGTGCAGACCCGGGGGGGGGGGGGGGGGGGGGGCGGGGCTTTGCCCCTGGCAGTCTCCCAGGCGGTGGGCGTGTCCTGGGGCGGGGCCTGGCCCTTGCCTGGAAGTGGGGGGTAGGAGGCCCGAGCTGTGGGTCGGGTGGTGGGAAGGGCTGCCCAGGGTCGCGCGGGGGAGGGGTGGGGGGGGTGTGGAGCAGGGGCCTCCAGGCCGGTGCGGGAGGGGGCCCCCCCCACCCCACCGATCTCCCTGTCCTGCGATCCCGGCAGCAGCGCCCACCTTCTCTGCAGCTCTTTAATGCGCACCATGAGGTTGAGGTGGCCCTGGGAGTACTGCTCGATGACGTCCCGCACGTCGTAGGGCTTCCGCGCTTGCTGCAGGGCGGAAAGATGCGTCACCCCGGGCCCCGCGGCAACTCAACTCACAGGGAAGCCGCCCGCCTCCAGGGGCCCCTTGTGGGTTTAAGGAGGTTACCCCTGGGGCCCAACAGGGCAGTGCTGGCCCAGCACGCCCTCTCCAGTGGCTCGGCTGCTCCAGTCTTGGTCACTGGGGCTGGGTGATCCTGGGCCGGCGCTTGGCCTCTCTGGGCCTTAGCTTCCGGCTCACTCACCGCAGGGGCCTGCCTGCTTTCCCTTTCCTGGCTACCAGCCTCTGTTCTTGGGAAGAGCTGGTCCTGCTGATGGGCACACACAGCTCTGTGCAGCCACTGTCCCCCTGGCCCCAAGCTGAGCCTGGACACACTCGCGGACAGGTGCGCCCACTGTTCTCAGGGAGGCCGGGGGGGGGGGGTGCCGCTCTGCGCTCTTCCCAGATAGTCTCCGCGGCAGGTGGAGGTGGCCTCAGGTGACAGCCTCAGCCAGCCGTGCCTGCTCTCTGGCACAGGCCGCCTGCCGGGCTTCTGAGGCCGCCAGGGCAGAGGGGCTGTTTGCACAGCAAGCCTGGGGCCGCGCAGGGCAGGGCAGCTGACCCCAAGGCACCTGGGCTTGGTGCCAGCTCTGAGCCCGTAAACGCACATGGGGCTCAGGTGAAATCACCAGAAACCACAACAGAGAGAATGAGGCTTCTTATGATGCCAGTGAAACCTCAAGCCGCATTTATGGCCCCGTTCCCAGGAGCCCGTGGGCTGAGGGTCTCCCCCAGGTAGCAGCAGGCCGGCTGGATGGGGGTTCGATGGCCCAGGAGGCCCTTCACCCGCACAAGCCAGCCAGAGCCGCGTGGGGACGTAGAACCCGCCTGCCCAAGGGCCCAGGGTCCTCGTTAGCACTGAAGAGTCCACGTTAGCAATGAGTTTGGGGGTGCTGCCTCTTGCTGAGGAGGGCAAAGGCCCGGACGTCTTGGTGCAGCAGGCCGGCTGGGTCAGAGGCCAAAAAGGAATGAGGTGCAGATACCCCACCCGATGTCAAGGCCGCTCTGGAGCCTGGGGGTCCCTGGGGACATGTCCCCCTGCCCACCTGAGGCCTCCCCTCCTTGGGGTGCCCTCTCCCCCCGAGACTAGGGCTACCCTAGTCTGAGGGCGTGGCCACCCCTGCTCCCCCAGAAAGACGGGCCCCCCTGAGGGCACCTCCTTCAGATCCCTGGGTACCCTTCTGACATGCCCAGGGGCCCTGAGCTCAACACGGGCACCCTGGCATTATGCTTGCCAGGTCCAAGGAGGTCCAAGGAGAGGTCCAAGGCAGGACCTTGGAGGAGGTCCAAGGCAGAGGCCTCCCCCTCCCAGGGGCCCAGGGGGTTCCTGCGCCCCACACGATCTACCGGGGGGGGGCCCTCACAGGCAACATACAGTCCTTCTCCGGGCCCCGAGTCAGGACCCTGAGATTGGCGGGGCTGGGATTGCCCTGATCTTTCCCAAACCATAGCTGTGCCCCCAACAGAAGGACCTGCAACCGTGCGGGGCCCCAGAACCACCTGTGTCACCTTGTGGGCCGCATGCCAGGCCTGTCCCGACATCACAGGGTCGGGCACGGGCTGGGACTCCAGGCCGTCCACACTGAGCTGAGTGACAGTCATCAAAACACTTGGGTACGGGCTAGTGCTAATGTCCCCAGATCTTGGTTTTTCCTTCTGTGCGATGGGGGATGCCGATCCCTGACCGTCCCTTCTGCAAAATGGGAATGGGAATGTCTGCTCGTCCCTTCTGTAAGAGTCTGAGCTCTTCCTTGGTGCACGCTGAAGGCGGCCCTGAGTCATGACAGCCTGCTGTGGGCCAAAGCGCTTTGTGAGGCATGTGGCACCTACAGGCATGTGGTGAGGTCTGGGGCAGGCTGGGGCACCGGCTGGCTTCAGAGTTCAAGGCGGTGCAGGCCTGGCCTGGGGTGGGGCACATCCCTGTGCCGGGCTCCCAGACAGGCTGGAGGTCGTGGAGGGTGGCGTGTAGGGGGAGACCTGGGCACCTGAGCGTGTTGGGACTTTGGTGGGCACAAATTTGCCTTTGGGCAGGCACGGGAGTGCGGGAGCGTGTACGCCCGCAGAGGAGGGGGCGGCTCTCTGGGCGTGGCTCGGGGTAAGGCTGCTGGGCACGGCCCCGCCCACCTCACCTTGGTCAGAACGTAGACCACAGAAGGGTCAGTGACGCCGGGTGAGACCCAGGGCCCGTGGCCCAGTGGGGCCCCAGGCCCTCTGAGACTTCTCTTAGTACGGATGAGTCCCCCAGGGTCTGGTCCCCACTCCTGGAGGCCTCTGTCAAAGGGGCTGCCTGGGGCCCAGCTGCAGAAACCATCTCAGCTTTCTCTCCAGAGCTAGTTTCCTCCGGCCGCAGCAGCCGGAGCCTGAGATGAGCTGAGATAATGCAGGGCCGACCAGACTGACCGACGGTGGACACGGGAGTTCAAGGCAAAGTCGGAGGCCTACGAGGCTCTGGCTCCTCTGGCCAGACACAGGGGCGGCCCGCCGGGCACTTATCGGCCAGCCAGCGAGGCAGGCGGGGGGCCACCCGCCACGTCTGCGGCCCCTGAGGCTGGGGGCGGGGCGGGGTGCGGGCGCAGGCAGACAGACAGACAGGCTGTTGTGGGGGGAAGGGAAGGCATCCCTGACAGCTGGGCCTGGGCCGGAGCCCTGCAGAGCTCCTCCCTGCCAGGGGCTCCCCCTCCCCCCCACCGCTACCTTGTGGGTCCCTCCCCCCCATCCCTGTCCCTCCCTGGCAACAAGGGCCAGCTGGTGAGGCTGAGGCCGCCCCTGTCCCCGCCTTGCCTGAGAGCCCGTGTACCCCGCAAGAACAAATCGCGAGGCTCTCAGAGCCTCTCCATTCAAAGGGCCCCACCTGCTTTACTCGAGGCCCCCAAGGGTCCTGTGCACAGGGGTGCGTCAGAGAGCAGGGAAGGTGGGGCTGCCCGGCCTGCTTCTGGGGGCCTCCCAGGCCACTTGCAGGGCCCTGGCCCGTGTTGTGCGGCAGGCAAGGGGAACCCCAGCCTGGAAGGAAGTACAGGGCCCCTACTGCCCCTACTGATGCGAGCAGGTGGTTTTCTCACCTGCATTTCAGGGACAGGGTGCTCCCCGAGTCAGCTCCAGCCCCTGAACCCCGTCTGCCAGGGACAAACTTTGTCCTGCGCGGGAAGCTGCCCGCGTTACCCCCGACCGGGGCCTGCCAGAAACCCCGAGTTTCTGCCGGCTGTGCTGGGTGTGCTTAAATCCTGGCAACAGCACCCCCCCCCCCCCGGAAGCCCGCTGTCCACCCTGGCACAGCCGACCCCCACCACTGTTCCTGCTGTGCTCAGGCGGTAGGCGCGGCCCTGGAGCCTCAGGGGCCTGGCTTCTCGGGCTGGGGGCCATCCCCATCCTGGAAGATGCCCCACGGAGCCCTCTGCTCCACCAGGCTGATGTCTGGTGTTCCCGGGGTCCCCTTGGTCCTGCCCAGACCAGACCCCTGGAGGGGGTTCCCACAGCTGCACGCCACTCGTTAGTGGGGGGCGGGAGGCTCGCCGAGGGGCGCTCCTGGGGCTCGGATCAGTGGTGGTCGTCTCTGGGGAAGATGCTCCCCAAAAGCCGGCCGCGTGTGACGGCCGCGTGCGGGACGTGAGGACGCCGTCTCACGCCAATCTCTTGGGCTCTTGGTTCCTGTTACGGATGGGGAGGACCCGCCGTGGACCTGCCTCCAGAACCCCCCACCGAGTCGGGCTCCGTGGCCCAAGTGGGTGTGGGCTCTGCCGAAGGGGCCGCGTGGAATCCGCAGCCGGGAGCAGGACATAGGGGCACGGGTTCTCGCCCCAGCCCTGCGGGGTCCGCGCTGGGGGAAGTGAGCAGGTCAGCCCCCGCCCTTCCCTGCTTGGGGCTCTGGACACCGCCACTGCTCTGGGTGGCCCCCAACCCCCATTCCAGCGGGCAGTCACTTTTTAAAGGCGCTGGTGGCCAGGCCTTCTGGAAAGAGAATGAGCAGCCCCGTGGGTCCCCGTTTCTGAAGTCTACATGCTCTCAGAGTGAGGGCTGAGCCTGGGACCTCCTCAGACCAAGGACTGTCCCCACAGCAGGAGGAAGGAGCTAGGCCTGCTACCAGCTGGCTTTCTTCTGGGGGCCCCAGAAGACCCAGCCCTGGACGGACAGCTGATGGGGGACGGGAGCCCTCAGGCTCCAGCCCCACCAGCCGAGGAGCCCCCCACCTCTCCCTGTAAAGGTGGGTCACCCCCCTGGGGCAGGCAGGGCCGGGCTTCCCTCCCGTTCTCCTGACTCACGTGGGGGGTGGTGGAGAACAGGGCCAGGAGCACTGACTGCATGGGACGGGGCTCCAGGGTCTAGGGGACCCCACTTCCTGCCCAGGTGACGTGGGGTGGGACACTGTATGTCATTGCCATCATCAGTCAGTCACCTAGGGAAGGGCTGCGTGAGCCCCTGAGGCTCTGTGTGCATCCGGCTCCAGGCTGGACCCTAGGGCAGTGTCCTCCCAGGGGCCCGCTGTCTTAGGGGTGGAGAATGACATTGTTTCAGGGTATCTGATGGGTGAAGGGTGAGGTCTAGGCTGTGGTAGGGTATGGAGGCCTCGTAGTCTTGGCCGAGGGTGGACGAGCGGCTGCCGGGGCTGGCCAAGGGCAGGAGGGCTAAGCGTAGGACTCACCTGGAATTTCTTCTTGGCCACAAAATACTGCATACGCCGGATGACCTTGATGGTGGCCCGATGGTGCTCCCGCAGCCTGTGGCAGAAAATGGAGAAGAGGCATGAGTGGCCCCCCTGGGACGGTCATCCTGCGCCCGGCACTCTCAGCGTCTCAGCGTCTTCCCAAGTGCCTCCTGCGTGCAGGCTGGGCCCTTCCAGAAACGCGGAGGATGTTCACCCCACGGGATGGAGGTCTTCGAGACTCCATCCTGGCAGGGGAAGGGGGCAGGCCAGAGGCAAGAAGCTTTTAGCCAGCAGGATGAGCCCAGAGGGACCCTTGCCTCGTCTGTTGCTTGGAAATGGTGCGGGAGTCAGAGTCCTGGGTTCATACGGGCTGTGCCCCTAACTCAGCAGAACCACAGAAGCTTCTTTCCACCCTTGGGCCTTCAGGCTCCTCACCAGTATAATGGGGAAGGAGTACAGCGGGTGCCTGAAGCCCCTCTCCGCTGGAACGTTCCCTGTTGCCACACATGCGCATGTGCTCGGAAAATGTAAGGGCTACAGGAGGAACAAGCCAGAGACAGTCACTGCCTGAGCCCCTGTGTCAGGAGATTGTATTGTCTCCCCTGTCAAGTCCCTTCTAGAAACAAAGATCCTTCCAGAAACATGGCTGATGGTGTGCATAGAAAGACGTCTAGAAGGAAATACACCTGCACGGAAGCCATGCGGCTTCGGCCACGCAGCCCGCGTGTGACCCGACCTCTGCCAAGAACCCCCATGAGATGAAGGAACAAACCAGCACAGGGGTGTGATGGCTGTGGGGTGACACAGCGATGTGAAGGGTTGAGATCCCGGAAAAGAGACCGACCACACGGGCCGTGCGTGTGGCCGCACGTCTCCTCCTTTGAGCACTGATGCATTTGTCGTGTAGCACACAGAGTCAGGCTCGTCGGGCTGGGGAGACAGACAGGGGAGTCCAGGGCCACAAAGACATCCAGGACTTGGGGGGATGGGGGCTCCTGAGCCGTGAGCCCCCTTTCACAGAATGTCCCCTTGAAGCATTTGTGGATTAAGCTGCACAGGCATGGGGTAAGATTCTAGGAGGGTAAAAAGCTAAGCAGACAACTTGCAGGCTTATGTCACTGCGGAGAGGAGCACTGGGGTTCAGGGTCTACCCAGGAGATGGGACCCTGGGACTCCCCAAGCTTTCAGTCAAGACCCCTATGGCCTCAAATCGTTTCAGTCTCCACCCGGAGCAAAGCGCCCTGCCCTGTGCCCTTTCCACGCTGGAGGAAGACCAGATCATCTGCGGGGAGATAGCAGGGAGCCTGCACATGGTTTTTTATGCTCAAAAGACCAACAACCAAGGGAGAAAACAGACCGCAGAAACAGATCTAAGGATGTGACGCAGGCGATGTGCTGCATACTCGTAGCCGCTCCATCAAGAGACAGCTCTGCTCTTCCCACTCTGCGAGTTTGGGGGAACCTGATGCCTGTTCCGACAAAAAGAATGCTGGGAAGCCAGCATTCCTGGAACGCGGCCGCGTGAACCCGTCTGAGCCGGCCGGCCGGGGCAGCCACACGGAGGAGAGCGGGGGCCCCCAGTCAAGAGCCAGCATCAAGCGACACACACACACGAGCGAGGCCGCCCCTGACCATCCAGCCGCGGTTAAGCCGCCAGATGGCCGCACCCGCACGAACACGCACACGAAGCAGAACGACCCCCCAGCCGAGCTGACCCCAAATTGCTGAGCCACGGAATCGTGAGCAAGAAAACGGGTTGTGGTCTTTTTAAATTTTTTATTTTTACTTATTTTATTTTCTATTTTGAGAGAGAGAGAGAGAGAGAGAGAGCGAGCGAGCATGTGCACGCACAAGCGGGGTCCGGGGGTGGAGGGAGAGGGAGAGAGAGAACCCCAAGCAGGCTCCACACGCAGTGCGGAGCCCCACGCGGGGCTGGACCCCACGACCCTGGGATCGTGACCCGAGCCGAAATCAAGAGTCAGACGCTCTACCGAGTGAGCCATGCAGGTGCCCCGAGACCCTCAAACACACGGTGCTGGTTTGGGGACCGGGCATTGGACAAAGGCAAGAAGCAAGGGCGGATGCCGTCACTCATCACACGAGACTCTCATGTGTCCTGTAGGGGTGAGTGAACCTTGTGCTGGGACTTACGGCCTGTTGCGGACTGAAGACGGGTCAAGATCTTCTGTAGTTCTCCCAAGCAAGAGGTGAGGCCCCCGTGGTGGGAGAGGGCCGTGAGTCTGAGCCGTGATCTCGAGACCTCGCAGCTCCCACCGTCATCCTGTTGGAACGCTGCTGCCCCACGGATGTGTCTGAGCGAGGCTGCTGCCGGGCTGCCGGCCGGGCAGCTCCAGACACGTGTGGCTGGAGGAGACCACCCAGTCCTGCCCAGCCGAGCCTAAGGAAGACCACCGGACGAGCAGCCCAAATGCTGACCCACGGACGCATGAGCAAACAGACAGCTATGGTTTGCTTCAGAGCTTTTAGATGAGGACTTTAACCATGGCAGGGGCACCTGGGTGGCTCAGTCGGTTAGATGTCCGACGCTTGATCTCACCACTGGTGGGATCGAACCCCGAGGCAGGCTCTGCGCTGACAGGAAGGAGCCTGTGTGGGATTCTCTCTCTCTCTGCCCCTCCGCTGCTTGCCCACACATGCACGCACTCTGCCTCTCTCTCAAAATAAATAAATAAGCTTAAAAAAAATAAAGATCATGGGTTCAAGAAGATAGAAGGAGAATTTCACCAGAGAAATGACATCTGCGGTGACAATAATAAAATGGAAATTCTAGAACAGAAAAGACAAGGATGGAAGGTAAGAAGGCAGATGAATTTGATGGCAGAGTGGGCACACAAGAACTGGAAGGGCACAGGCAGGTGGGAGCACGGAGACACAGCAGCATTAAACACACACAAAAAGGTAAGATGAGGGACATCTGGTTAAAAGTTCGTGTACGTGTGGAATCCCAGAAGGAGAGGGGACAAGTGGAGACTCGGTGGCTGAGAATTTTCCAGAAATGATGGAACACATCAGGCTGCAGACTCAAACAGCTCTTTAGATCCTTGGGCTTATGACAGTAATGCCGCTGAGCAACAGGGAAGGTCACAGCAGCAGTGGAGGAGGGGATGGCACATTATCCTGATGACTGGATGAAAGTCGGGTGACATCTTTAAAGTGCACAGGGAAGCATTCGAGACCCATCAAATATACCCTGAAATATGAAGATGAAAGTTGGGGCGCCTGAGTGTTAAGCGTCCAATTTCAGCTCAGGTCATGATCTCGCAGCTCGTGAGTTGGAGCCCCGCGTCGGGCTCTGTGCTGACAGCTCGGAGCCTGGAGCCTGCTTTGGATCCTGTGTCTCCCTCTCTCTCTGCCCCTCCCCCGCTCACGCTCTGTCTCTCTGTCTCTCTGTCTCTCTCTCTCAGAAGTAAATAAACATTTTAAAAAATTAAAAAAATATGAAGACAAAAGTAAAGGAAGCAAATCCTATAGGATTCTACTCAGATGAGGTCCCTAGAGGAGTCAGATTCATAGAGACAGACAGCAGGATGGTGGGATCCAGGGGCTGGGGGAGACGGATGACAGTTGGTGTTTAATGGGGACAGAGTTTCCGTTTCACAACATGAAAAAGTCCTGGAGATGGATGGTGAGGACAACTGCACGACACGTGAATGTGCTCAATGCCCCTGAGCTGTACACAAAAATGGTTAAGATGCTACATTTTATGTTATGTATATTTTACTACCAAAAAGAAAAAGAAAAAAAGAAAGAAAGGAAGAAAGAAAGAAAGAAAGAAGAAAGGGAGGAGAGAAGGAAGGAAGGAAGGAAGGAAGGAAGGAAGGAAGGAAGGAAGGAGGAAGGAAACAAAACCAAAACCAAAACCAAGAGAATTCACTGCTAGGAGACCCGCATTGGAAGAATGACTCAGGGGACTCCCCGGGCAGAGCAAAATGATCCCAGAAGGAAGCATGGGAATACAGGAAGGAATCAAGGACACATAAAAAGGCAGATTTATGAGAAAGTTTAAATTTGCATTGACTTAAATAGTGAGGTTTCATGAGGTTTAAACATCACTAGAGACCAAGAGGGATATTTTATAACTGAAGAAAAAAAAAAAAAAGGTCAGTTTGGTAGAAAGATATCAATCCTAAATCTGCATGCAGTTAAAAATGGGATACACACATGTATCTGTATAGCATAACTGAAATGTGTGATAAAAATAGCATAAAAGGCAGAGGGTGTTGATGGAGTCACACAGCTGTGAGCACCCTGTGCTGTCAGGGAAGTGGCAAAAGTGCTACTTTGAGGTCAACCCTGATGAGTCAAGATGTCGACCACTGATGGAATAATACAAATGTGTAAATGCAACAAGCTAACAGAGAATACAAATTAAATAGTATCAATATTTGATTAATCCAGAAGCAGGAAAGGAGATAAGAAAGAAGTGAGGGGACAAAGGGGGGATGAGTGGAAGGCAGCAGAGTGCGTGCACTGCAACAGGACAAAGCATTCCAATTAAAGGACCAACACTGGCAGACGGGGCTAAAAATATAAAGATGTAGAAAGCGTGACAGCAAAAGGACAGAAAAAGAGATGTCGTGGTGTAGCCAAAATGGAGCTGGTATGGGTAAGCTCTATCACACAAGGTAAACTTTAAATATAACCAGAGATAAAGAGGGATATTTCATAATTTAAAAAGTCATCACTCTGGTAAGAAGATATCAATTCTAAATCTGTATGCACCTAAAAACATAATCTTAAAATACATAAAGCAAAACTGGCAGAACTAAAAGGCAAAAGAGAACATGCACCATCATGGGGGGAGATTTGAATACACCTCTGTTGGCAACTGATAAAAAGCAGTCAAACCATAGACAGAGAGATGAATTTAGACAACATGAGTGGCAACCTGACCTAGTCAATATTTACAGAGCGCTGCTCTCAATGGCTGAACAGCACATAAGCTTTCCAACTGCACACGGAACACTTACCCAAACAGACTATATACACGGCTCTAAAAGCATGTTCTAACAAATTTCAAAAAAAAAAATTCAATCACACAGGTGGGTTCTC